AGGTCAAAAATTTTTGTAATTCAGGCACCCTTGCCTTTGAGTCCTTCGCTCTGGACTTTTATGAAACTATTCAAATACTTCCACTGCACATTACTGAAAATTCCACAGGCTTTGATATTCTATAAAAATATTTGGTTACATAATTTTTAAATTACCTCTAAAATTTAATGGTGAGAAAAACATGAGAGCTCATAAGATTTAACTATGAACTAATTTCCAGAGTTCAAATCAAGAAAGAATGAAATCCAAAATATAAAGTCAGTGATTAAATGTGTATTAAGAAAAATGCAAACTTGATAAAACCTAGTGGAAAATTATTCAAGTAAAAATATGTAGAGAAAAAATGAAAATGTAAAAAAGGATTCTAAATTGAAATGTACTGAAATAACATTTGTTATTGCAAGAACTGAAAGCTAGATTTTAGAATGCCTTCTCAAACCAACATTTTAAAAGACATAAGAGACTCAGTAATCTCCCCCTATTTCTATATACACAGAAATGATTTAAATTTAGGGGGCATGGGAGGACAGAATATGGTAGCTGCCTTTAAGTGTTTAATAATGGGACAAATCATAAATAAGGGACTGCTAGGGAGTATTCAGTGAACACTTCCATTAAAATAATTTTCTCCAAATGTTTTTATTTTTGACCAATTAATCAGAAAGTGCATTCTGAGTAAGGATGAAGGAAGATTTCTACTTAACTGATTTAGGTTTGAAGGAATCAATGAAAGGGAAAAGATACAAAAATGTATTACTCAAAGCATTAAAAAAGATCGAGCTTATTTTTGGAAAATCAATTTTAACACATACTTGAAGTAATACAGTTTTCCTAATCTGTTATGAGTATGAGTTAAATATTGTTGCATATACTTGCAAAATCTTACAGGTCTTTCTAGACCACGTTAAGTTTGTTTTTTAGTTAAATAACAAAGGAATAAAATTATGGATAGAGTTCAGCAACAAACTTTCCATTAGGATATGAAATCATGCTATGAGTTCAAAAAAAGGGTTAGTTGTATAAATTTGGGAAATAATCACTCATGCAAAAATCAGAAAATACCTGTACCGAGCCACCATGTCTGTCTGCTGCAAGGTGAGCTCTCAAATGGTGGGGATTTGCCTGCTGGGAGTCCCAAGCTGCCCTGTGGTCTGCCGACTGCCATTTATTTAATGCATGTGGCATGCATGGAAGAAGAAAAACCCAATATGTTAAACATCTCATCCTTGTAATATATAAAACAAACATATAAAAGGAAAATAAAATATCCTTATTTTTTGGAATCAGGGTAGTTATCTTTGCATGTGGAATATGCAGAGATTTTTGTTATTGCCAAACTGTGTAATGATCAATAATTAAAATAAAATAGAACCATAAAATTTTAGAAGTACAAAGATTTTAGAAATTACAGATTCCATCCTCTAACTTTATAATGAAGTTAACATTTAACAAGGTAAAAATGATTGTGCCCAAGAAAGCACACGAAATAAATCATGAGCACACTGAAAGACCATCCGCTCACTGTATGTTCTTCTGATAGAGGTCCTATTTTTAATAAGATAAAAATGACAATCTATAAATAACTTCTTGAGATCCTACGAAGAATTTCTCTCTTGTTAAGTCCCCTGTTTGTGCTTATGAGGATAATATGAGAAAACAGAAAAGTTCTTTGAAAACAGAGCAGCATTAGATGGAACACTACGAGACCAAACACACAATCCTCTGCGTGTCAATCCCTTTGCTTCCTTCTTTTCTTTTTATCTGGCTCAAAGTAAGCAACTCATTCCTATGAAAAAGGCTAAAAAGTCTTGGTTATCAGATCCCGTGGCAAATCTGCCTGGCAATATCCACAAACATAATAATCACAGCACAATTAAGAGTTCTTTTTTTTTTAATGAGAAAAACAATATGCTCATTTCATTTAAAAGCCAATTTACTTGCAATTAAGACAGTTTGCTATACTACTGTAGATGATTTTTTTCTAAATTTCAAATTTTAGGAAAAATAAAAAAATGTCTTCCTTAGCAAAGATGAAACTATACCCCGCAGAAACGAGCTTCTATCCATTTCCAGAAGAAAATTCATCGCTCACTATGAGGATACCTAAGAGCATTTTCTTAATAGAGGTCAATTTCTATGTTTCAGGAAAATGTGAACACAACCAATAAAAAGAAGGAAGAAGACAGGATGTAAGTTTTACTACATGTTTTGTACTGCATTAGCTGCTTTATAAATGCTATTTCATTTTGAGATAGACAGTATCCTCCCATTTTACTGATAAAGAAAGATACTGAGATGGTAAGCACTTTCCTAAGGTCACAGAGCTAGCAAGATACGGAAGGAATTCCATCTCAGCCTACTGGTCTTCCAATTAATACTACCCAGCTCCTCACCACAATTACGCATAGTCTACAGCCTTTAGTGTTCTTTTCTTTCTTTTCAACCAAAATCAAGATAATCTTACAACAAAGTGCCACGCACGCTGGGCTGCAAGGAGCCCAAGCAGATCGGCATCCAGAGCAACCTTTCAGAGGAGAGATGTTAAACTAAGTGTCTTCAATTCAAGTGTGCAATCCAAAATTACAGACTGTGTGGAAGAAAGTACTTGTATGTCCTCAAAAGAGTTATAATGGTTCTATGATGTCTTTTCACTAAACACTCCAAATTCATAACCAGAATTTAGTAGATCTAAAGCTTAAATTTAAATGGATTAGATAAAATCAAATCTAGATGGGATGAAAGAATGAAAATAATACTAAAACTGAGATAAATATACAGAACAAATGGCAACATTTCAGGGTCATAAAACTTTCTAAAAATACAGCAAAAGCTATGAACCCTTTCTTCAAAATAAATAACTATACACACCCAGCATTTTACATAGAATTTCATGATGTCCTAAATTTCAACCCACTGACTCCACATCACCAATCATTTACCTGAAAACATTACAAAGGTTTCAGTCATTGGAAAGAATTAACCTTTTTCTCCTTTGGGATTGTGAACTGTGGATTTCTATTTTAAAACTCAAATGGCTTACTGGCTCATAGATACTTAAGAAGAGATTTTTCTAGATATGTAACTTTTCTATCATGATGAGAATCTGTATATTTGGGTCTCAAATTAAAGATGTAGCCCGTCCTAAAGGATTTCCCTACATTTAATTCAGTAGGGACCTGAACATATAAAAGATGGTTCCCATCCTCAGTCAGCTTACAATATAGCTGGTGAGACATCCAAAACATACAGAAAGGTCAAAGACTAACATGTTTAATTTACAATTTAATCAACACTAAGAGAAGAATTTCACTTATTATAATACCTAACAGCTGAAATGAAGAACTCCAGAGAATACCAATTATTACCCTTCTTTCAAGTACATTCAAAAAATTAATTCTGCTTTATAAGACACAAACTCAAGTCTCGACTCCTGGGCCCTTTCTTTCTCTATACAGCATCTTATCAGAGTACTCAAGCTATCAACTAATTTTAATTTATCCATATAAAGTAATTAACATATGAGGCCTTTATTGTCCCAATTTTTATAAGTCAATATTTTAAAATTAATCTTTGTAAACGGCCTATACTTTATAGCATATTGTAAATACCCTTAAAAGTTAGCACTTATCTTACTATGGTTTTTAAAAAGCAGTGTTCTTTCCTTTGATTTTGCCTATACTCTGCTGGAATATACAATGTAAAAGGAAAAAGAGTTATGATGGTTCTATGATGTCTTTTCGCTAAAGGGAAAAAGTTATAATGGTTTTGAAGTGTTTTCATTTCACTTTTTTTGTACAAAGAAATTTTATTGAAGACGTCTTTGGTTATGAATTCTGGTTATGAATTTGGAGTGTTTAGTGAAACGACATCATAGAACCATCATAACTCTTTTTCCTTTACGTACATCATCCTTCTTCAAAAAGAGTTATGAAAGAAAACAACTAGACAGTTTTTAAACTCAGGATGACACAAAATTGTTAAACCAAAGATGTCTTCAATAAAATTTCTTTGTACAAAAAAAGAGAAATGAAAACACTGCTCTAAAATTTCAACAGTTTTCTATTCCCTTACCTAGGAAACGTGAACTATTCACTCTCAACCCATCTTCTAAGCCTTCTCTCAAACTTATTCTCTGCTCCCCCATCTAATCTAGCTCTAGCTACTCTCTGCTCCAAGGAAACTGGACCACTTGCAATGCTGCAAACCAATCTGACAGTTTTAAACTTCAATTTCATCTTTTGTACTAGCCCCAATGCCCTATTCCTTCATTTCTCTTTAAAAATACAATTTGTTCTTTAGGCTTATCTCAAAAGCCACCCACCTCTACCTCAAAATCATTATGATCCTGCATGGCACTTTTAATGCATATATCATGTAACATATCTTATTCTGTTTTGAGCTGTTAGTTATTTGTGCATTTACTGTAAGAAACATAATAATATTAACATTAGTCACGAGAGTTGAGATTGAAAGCTTAGTATATGCTAGGAATTAACACGCATTATTTCCATTTTATAAATGAGAAAAGTGAGGCTTTGGAAGATCAATACCCATGTCTGACTCTAGAGTCTGAGTGAGCGCTTAACTACAATCCTACCTGTTACAAAATCCTTCCTTATAGGTTATACTGTCTTCCTTACTTCCATAGATCTAAGGTGTGTTGAATAGTAACTTTAAAATAGCAGAAACTCAATAAATAATTTCTTGAACTAAACTAGACTATAGCAAGGTCAGGTACTCTTACAATTCATTCCAATATGGGGTATCCGAATATTTTCATAGTATAAAATATTACTCAGTTTACATGATTTATATCATTAATGAGGGCTTTATCATTAACTATTTTAATATTATTAAACTAATAATAAAATTAGGAGAAAGTTTTTCTATTAAAAATACATGTATTCTCAATCCATCAATCTATTTTATTTACTGAGGAAAAAAGTCCACGTTTCACTCTGAAACAAGTAAGACATTTCCTATCTGCAAAGGCAGCAAACCTGGTTCTTGGACTGTTGCATTTTATCTCTGTGTTGATGGGCTTCCCTGTTGGATGCCAGAGCAGGATCTTGCTGAACCGCACCCACTGGAGTAGGCTACAACACAATAACAATCGGGATCAATACATGCTACTTCAGAAATCTTATTTAAAATAATTCCTCTAGCTGCTTAAAAGGATCAAGGAAATAAGACACTGTTAGCCTTCATAAATTAAGGCTTTAAGAAAAGATACCATTCCCAACATATGTTGCTAAAGCTAACACAGTAAAGCAAAGAGAACATCTAGACTTTCTAAGCATTTCTGAATATTTCTAAATATTTAAATACTTTGTAAGTGTTTTTATATTTACGAAAAAACCTTCTAATACTGTCATTACTTTTAGATTACTTTTCAAAACAATGAAAATATATTTGGTTATGTCTCTCATTTCCAAAGCTAATGTGTAAGTAGATAATTAGAATACATTATTTTTTCAAAAATTTAAAGAATAGTTTAAAAAATAGTGAAAGTGCTTATCTTCAATATTTTGACTCTGAGAAGAGGCTTATAAAAAGTGTTAATTTTCATCCAGGTACCAAAGTACTAAAATTGATCAAATAGAGTGTCTTTAAGAACTAAATCAGGATGGAAAGATCAAAATAACTCTTAAAAAGCAGAGAATCCAAATGTAAGGCTTCTACAAAATTCAAAAACCAATTCAATTTAACACTATCTAGAGAAATGTCCTTAAAAAATAAAATAAAATGAATCCTTTTAAAGGTTATTTGTTCTCAACTCGTTTAAATTGAGGAATCTGTACTGTTAAAAAGAAGATAAATACTATATTCTTATTACATAGCATAGAGTACTTACCAACTGTTTACCAATCCAGTCGTATTCATAATCAAACATATATCCTTTCCGATCAAACAAGTCTGTAAAAAGCTTTCTCAGGTAGTCATAATCTGGCTTTTCAAAAAAATCTAGCCTTCTGACATAACGAAGATATGTTGCCATTTCTTCTAGAAAGAATGTAAGAATTATTCTAACTATACTTTTTTGTTATACTCAATAATAAAGTCATTTAAATGTCTAAAAGCATACTCTATTACAAAAAACATGGAAAAGTAAAAAAGTTGTATTACAACTTAAAATTTTCTGAGTTTAATTACAACAAAAAAGTGGAAAAGGAGAAAAGGAAATAGAAACAAAACTGACAGGTTAATTTAACTGCCACTATTTTTGTTTCATTTCATTAAGAAAAGCTAAAATAAAATTTATTTTATAATATATTTTTTAACAATATTATTTTTAATACTGGGTAGTACAAGAGGTTGAATGAGCAGCTTAATAATGAACAATTAATCACAAAGCATCACACTCAGACCATAAGTTAAAAAGTCAGTGACAATACTGGTGGAAACTGATTTATAAAAAAGCATCTGCACTAGCTCCTGAGATTTCCTTTAGAACCAGTGACGCACACTCAATGACCAATAGAGCATCCAGATTCCTAACCTTGGCTACGACTGGTATTCGAATCAATTAAGCTACAAAATAAAGGTGAAATAAAGGTGACGTAGATCTCAAAAACATAACACAGGAGCCCACTGCAAGTCTTCTCTTAATCTCCAGTCATACCATTAACAATTATTTGGAAGTACACAAATCTTCACATACCACTATAATTCCTAACTGCAATTAGATACATGTATTTTTAAAGGTCATGTTTTAAGAAAGAAAATAAAACCCATGGAAAACAACAGGCAAAATGATGAACAATTAGTATTTCACAATAAGGCACAGAAAATCATGGCAGTAAGAGATGGTAGGTTATGCCCAGCTACTTTTCTGTTCCGGTTTATTCCCTGACAGCTAGTAAGAAAAGGTCACACCTAGCAAAACAGGCAGGAAAAGTGGCACCCAGTGACTTTCCTGACGTGACTGTCGCACTATCCACTTCCTATCTAACCACAGAGCTAATTTATCTTGGCACCCCTTGTTCACTGCCAAGTTTATAGACTTGAGATTATATAGACTTCTTTAATCCCAGCCAATCTACCTACACCTTAATTCCTGGCACTAACAACCAATATTTTTTAAATCTTCAACTTCTAGATGTCATGGCAAGAAAAAAATAAATATAATTAAAGTTTGCTGTCAGTGAATAATTTAAGGAAACTTGAGAGATACCTCAGAATATATTGATGATAATATCAGCCTCGTATAAGCTTGAGAGATACCTCAGAATATATCGATGATAATATCAGCCTCGTATAAGCTAACCAGTGAACAGTAAAGTGAGACAGAAACTCAATCTTAAATCTTCAAATTTAGTTCTTTCATTTAATGTTGCTGCACAAATCACAGCAGATATTTTAAGATATTAACAATAACATTCTTATTCTTTAATTTATTTAGAAATCTGAAGTAAATTTTTGTTCGTTTAGTTTGCACTGTCATAAGACTACTTGAAAACAAAATTATTTTCATAAATGCATATGGCTCTCTAATATAAAACTAGTCTAAAACTAGAAAGGTCAGTAAGATTTTATTGTAATGTGAAAACTAAATTAAAACATACTTCACACATTTCATTTCAACTAGACACTTAGACTCAACTGACTAATGTTGTACACAATAACTTTTTAATTGGTATTCTTTAGCAAATACTTTAACTTATAAAAAGTATGCAAATGAAGTATTACTTCAGATGGTATTGGTCAACACTACTAAAAGATGGGTTTCTCTTTCACTGATACAGTATCCTAAGAAAATACACAAACTGTTCCCATGAACTATGCATCAAATGCTGACATTTTTTAAATCACATCTTGAGTTCATTTTTTTAAGCATGAAAAAAAAGTGTTTATAAACTTAAGCAATGAAAATTAGCATTTTGTGTCTTCTGTATATATAAGTACATGAATCAATGTCTCGTTATTCATTACCTGGAAAATTCTCACATAACACTTCTATGGGTGTAGCTCGTTTTGTATCTCCAATTTTCTGATATCTCTCTTTTAATGTGTCAGCCTAAAACACGCAAAAAAATTGAGGATGTAGTATTTAGAATTATTTAGCTAAGAGAGGACCTTAACATAGCTTAACATTTTATGACATATAAGGAAACACAAAAACAGTTACCTTTAAGCCTTGCCAAGGAAGACTGCCTCTCAGAAAATACATAAACATATGACCTAAAGCTTCTAAATCATCTCTTCTACTTTGTTCTGAAATACAAAAAGAACACCAATTTCACTTTTCTGTGCTAGATAAGAATGCAAGAATGGAGAATTGGTCTTTTCAAAGTAATGTCCAAAAAGTACAGTATGTAAATACAAAACACAAATGCAAGGCCTATAAATCTCACTATCACATCTTGTTAAATAACATTTTTACATTAAAATTATTGTGCATTTTTAAAATATGCCATTATGATTTTTTAGATGCTATTAGAGATCTTTATTGATAGAAACACAGGCCAAAGGAAACAGCTCTCTCATCAAACAGAGTCACTATATACTACAGCTCTGCCTTAAAGATTCAGAACAAAACACTAAAGGCTCTGATAAGTGTAGGGTTAAAAATGTTTCCTTTTATTTACCCGTGCATTTCCTAAACTTTGATGAGCGTGAAATTTCATCACATACTCTCCATTAATATTAAATACAATTAGTATGTGCATTAAGGTATTTTAAGAAACATTTCTATCCAACAGAGACCAACATTAATAATTCCTCCACTATCAAAAAAATGACTCTAGGATGAACTGTCATTTTCAAGTTATTTTAGTAACAAACTGTCGCACCGCACATAACTGTCTGCCAATCACAGATGCGAGACCCAGGGAGACACTGTCTACGGATCATAAATACTTGATGATGATACCTCAATTTTTTTACATTGACCTTAAATAGTTAAGATTTCCAGATGCTTTAAATTAATATAAAAATGATAACAATGAAAGTAAAATAATACTTTACTGAGGGGGTGTTGTGTGCAAAATATTTTATTCAAATGGATAATTATCATATTACCTAGGCGGTACTAGATGCTTTCAGAAAAGCAAACTTCAAAGTATGGATCTGAACTAGAGTGAAAGGGTAAGAAAGGATTTTAATTTTTACTATATACTGTCAAAACATTCCATACTTCTATAACACTTGCTATAGTTTAAAAATATGTCTGTGTTACTATTTAATCACTATCTATCCTTCTCCCAGGCTGCAAGTTCTAAGAAAGCAGGTGTCTTTGGCTCATTAGCCTCAGGACCAAGTATAATCACTGGCACAGGGTAGGGGCCAACACATACTATGGAAATAAATACAGGGCACCAGGGGCAGAGGCTCACGTCTGTAATCCCACTACTCTGGGAGGACAGAGGATGGCCTGAGGCCAAGAGTTCAAGACTAGCCTGAGCAACACAGAGAAACAATATTAAATATATGTCCCTTTTCTCTACGTACAAAGAAAACATCTACAACAATGGTCCTCAACCTGTGGGTTGCGACTCACAGAAATTCTATTAAAGGGCCATGGCATGAGGAAGGTTGAGAACCACTGATCTAGAATAATATACATCAAAATTGATGTAATTAGGGCTATGAAATTAAAGAACTAGAGAAGAGACTTCAACTCCAAATTCATACTTCACATAGTATAATGGAGAATTTTTCTTTCTTGCACTTATTATAAAAATGTAAGGATATGCTATTAAAAAGCTACCTTTTCTAAAATAAGTTAAGCAAACTTAAAATTCATTTTAAGTTCGCTAATGAAAGAGGGGACATGAATAACATGAACAAAACCAGGAATGACTTTACAACAAAAATTTTACTTCATTAGGTTCTAAGAGACTGAAGAATGAAAAATCCTACAAAGAGAAAAATACTTCTAAATTCCAGCTGAGAATCCAAATCACCTCTAAAACTTTTTTAAAACTCAGATGAGCAGGCCTGCTGCTAGCAATGGCTCCTTGGGTATGAAGTAGGGTAGAAGAACGTGTATCTTTAAAAGCTTAGCAGATGATTCTGAAATGCAGGCTGATTTAACAACCACTGAAAAAGAAACTTCTTTCATTGAAGGATAATCAACAATATAGGAAGTACAATTCATAATTTACATATATTAAAATATACCCACAATAAGGGGACAGTTTGGCTAAGTTTCAACAACACAGACACCTGCAAAAGTAACACCACCACAATTAAGAAGCATTTCTAATCCTCCACAAGATTCCGTTATGACCCTTACCTCTTTTCTCCCCTTATGGGCACAATCTCCAGTCTCAAGCAACCACTTACCTGGCTCTATCACTACAGATTAGGTTTTTAAATATACTTTCACAAGAACGGAATCCTAAGAGAACGGATTTGTGTCTGAATTCTTCGGCGCAGGGTTCCCCAGATTCATCCTTGCTGTTGTGTACCACAGAGAGATACATTCATCTTTCCACCTACTGATGGACATTTGGGTAGCTTGGGGTTTCAGATTATTGTGAATAAAGCTGTTATAAACATTCTTAAACAAGTCTTTGTGTGATCGTAGGTTTTTGTTTCTCTTGGGTAAGTATCTAGGAGTAAGACCGCCACATCATATGGTAAAGGTAGGACTAACTTTACAAGAAACATCCAAACTGCTTTCCAACAGGACGTACCATTTTATATTTCTACAGCAAGGTATGAGAGCTCCGGGTGCCTCACAGTCTGTCCAGCATTTAGTGTGGTAAGTCTTTCTAACTTTAGTGGCTTTGACACCTTCCCTCGCCATGATCCAATCTGTATTTCACTGGGGATTAATGTTGGTTAATTTCATTTTGTGTTTTATTTCAAAGACTTCATATATCTTTTTGTGAAGCACTTATTCAGATATTTTGTCCATTTTTGAAATTGAATTGTTTTATTACAAAGATGTAAGAGTTAGTTCCTTGTATATTCTGGATACAAGTAATTTGCAGATAAAGTTTTACAAATAACTTTCTCCCTCCAAGACTAAAACTTACTTTTTGTTTTCTTAAGAGTATCTTTAAAAGCACAGAAGTTTTACATTTTGATAAAGCCCAATTTATCAGGATTTTTTTCTCTTATTGTTTATGGTTTTTTATGTCCATTCTAGGAAACTGCTGACTACCATCAAAGATTTGCTCCTATTTTTTCTGCTGGAAATTTTATAGTTTTGATTCTTACATTTAACACTATTATTCATTCTGAGGTAATTTGTGTTGTTGTCATTGTTGTTACTTTGGGTGTGGGGTTAGGGTTTAGATTCATTTTCTTTTTAATACTGGTATCTAGTTACTTTCCACGGCTTCCTGACAGAATGGTCCTTTCCTCCTGAATGGCTTTGCAACGTTCTCAAGTATCAACTGACCATCTATGTATCCAGTTTATTGCTGGACTCGATAGTTTGACCAACTTATCTGTGTCTGTCTTCGTATCAGTACCACCCAAAATAAGTAGAAGAAAGGAGAAAATAATAAGTGATGAAATCAATGGCCAGATAACGACAACGTACAGTCTACAAAAAAAGTATGAAAACAAAAGCTGTTTATTTGAAAAGTTCAGTAAAATCATTAAACCTCTCACTAGGCTAGACAAAAGAGACTTCAGAACAGATCCTACAGACATTAAAAGAATGAGAAAAGAACATGAGGAACCAACATTATGCAACAAGTTCAACAACTTAGATGAAACAGGTCAAGTACCTTGAAAGCTACTAATTACCAAAACTGCCTAAAGAAAATATAAATGGTTCTGTGTCAATTAGAAAAATTTTAATTTACAATTTAAAATATTCCCTATATATAATCCAAGGCCCACATAGCATCACTGTTGAATTCTATTAAACAGTTAAGGAATAATACAAATTCTACACTAACCTAGAAGAGTTCCCAATTTACTAAATTACCCTATTATTAAAAACAAAGACATTATAAGTAAAGGAAACTACAGAAAATATTCCTTATAAACACAGACACAAATCCTTAAAAACATAGTACATCATGACTAAGTAAGTTTCATTCTAGTAATGTAAATGTGGTTTAACTTTCAAAAATCAATGTAATTCGCCACATTAATACAATAAGATATAAATCATATGATCATCTCCAATATAGAAAAAGCGCTTGACAAAACCCAACGTTCACTCACAATAAAAACTCAGCAAACTAGAAATACATGAAAACTTCTTCAGCCTGACAGAGAACAGCTATAAAAAACATACAACTAACAGTCCTTAAATGGTAAGAAGAAGAAGTACAGTAAGAACAGTAAGAAGAAGATACTTAAACTCAGGAAGAAAACCAAGATGTCCACTCTTGACCTTTCTATTGAGTATTGTACTGGAAGAGGTTCTTACAGTACAGAAAGCAAAGAAAACAACTTTAAAAGATGAGTAGTTTAGAAAGAAAAAGAAAGGCTCTTTTTCTTTACAGACAACATGATTATGCATGTAGAAAATTTTAAGTAATCTACAAAAGCTCTACTACAATTAGTGAGTTTTAGCCAGGATACAGGACACAAGATCAATACATAAAATCAACTGTATTTTTATACTAGCAACAAACAACTGGAAATTGAATTTATAAACCAATTATCTTTGCAATGACATCAAGAAAGAAGAAATATTGATAAATTTATCAATATATACAGCATACAGTTTGAAAGACTTAAAATACAGTATATATAAAAGTATACTGATCCCTACAGTAAGACTCTTTGTTAAGGAGAGGAACTCAGTATAAAAGGCAATTCCCCTTTGAATCCTATCCAAGGAAGGCTTCAGTTACCACTGTGCTAACAAGCCACGATCATAAGGTCATGGCGCCTACATGGTTCTATGAGAGAACAGTTTAGTCTCACAATGAACAAGGCACTTAAAAATTCAAGCCGTAAATATAAGCTAGTAAAATAAACCTGCTCCTGAAATTCAGTCTGAAATGCTACTTACCCTCATCATTCCTTCCTCTGTGTTCTTTCACCAACTGACATATCTGTAAATAAATTTCACTATGTAGTACAGTAAGTAACAGAAATCATCAGAAGGCTTTCTCTTTGAACCACAGTAACTGAAGACCACCCCCTCAGGTCTTTAGCAGCTCTTTTACAGGAAAAAAAAATCTCCCAACAGTAATCTGTCCCTTATTAGAACTTTGATCACGTTTTTTAAAGCACTTAACCACAAAACCCTGTTTGAAAATGGTCATTTTTCCACAAAGCCAAGGATCATTATG